CTGCTCATGTACCTATTTAAGTGCCTCTTAAACGCTGTTATCGTGCCTGCTTTTATCACCTCCTTGGTAGCATGTTTCAGGCACCTACCACCCTCTGTGTAAAAAACTTGCCCATCTCACCTTAAACCTATGCCTCCTTGTATTTGACATTTCTACCCTGGGAAAAAGACTCCAACTTTCTACCCTCGCTGTGTCTCTCAAAATTTCACATCTCAGTGATGGCTACTGTATCATTCTTAGTTTGTGTACTGTAATCTTTTTTAATATGTGCTTCCTCTGTCCTCACTAAGTATCTGCCTCTCATTCCCAGGTCTGAATTTGCCCTCAGGTTCCTTGTAGTGATTGGAACCAGGTGGATCTTATTAACTGTGAGATCCTTGATTGGGTTGTTAACCAGGTCCAATCAGGGAGCCCTGACTAATAGATATAAACAGGGGATTCAGAGAGTCTGGCTCTGATCTGGCAGGTCACATCCCATGTAACACCAGATGTAAATAAGGGGTGACTTGGTGACAGAATACAGGCCTCTATGCAGTTATTTCATTCCTATTCCCCATCATCTATTTAAACCCTTCCCAACAGTATTCCCTGCAAGGGCAGCACGGTGGCTCAGTGGTGAGCACTGCTGTGTCACAGCGCCAACAACCCAGACTCAAGATATGGAATTTGCATATTCTCCCCATGTCTGTGTGGGTTTCCTCTGGGTGCTCTGGTTTCCTACCACTGTCCAAAGATGTGCGGGTTAGGGTGGATTGGCCAAAAGGGTCGGGGGTTGGGTATGGGCAGGATGTTCTTCCGAGGTTTGATGTGGACTCGGTGGGCTGAATGACTTGCTGCCACACTGTTGGGATTCTATGATATTCACTTACCCAGTTCAGGTGTTGATTGTCCAGCTTGTACAGATCCCACATTCCCCAGAACCATTTTCAAAGTCCCAGTAATCTGATACTCACCCTCCTGCACCAGCTTTCTGGTGATGTGTTCAATCACTCAATTCTCCTAGTTCTATGCTCACGAATACTTGAGACTCAGAATGTTCTTAGACTGCCGTATTGGAGGTTCTGCCTTTCAAATCTCCCACACAGCTCCCTGAAATCTGCTTCCAGAAGCTCACCCCCATTTCTACCCAAGTTATTGGTACCAGCGTGGACCATGGACCTGTCTTGATCACCCTCCACAGGGCAGCATGGTTGCTTAGTGGTTAGCTCTGTTGCCTTACAATGCCAGGGACCTGAGCACGATTCCACCCTCGAGTGACTGTCTGAGTGGAGTTTGCACATTCTCCCCATGTCTGCATGGGTTTCCTCTGGGTGCTCTTCACACTGTCCAAGGATGTACAGGTTGGGTGGATTGGCTGTGCTAAATGAGGAGTTACAGAGGTTAAGGTAAGGGCTCGGTTTGGGTGGGATGCTCCTTGGAGGTCAGTGCAGACTTGATGGGCTGAATGGCCTTTTTCTCTACCGTAAAGTAAATACAAATGGGGGGCAGAGTTGGTTTGAGTAGACCAGGAAAGGAGTTTAGCAGAAAACAGAGTTGATGAACAATGGCAGATGCTATGAACATTGTTTATGGCTCACAAGGAAGACATATCCCAATGAGGAAGATGGATCCTAGGAAGGGGATAAACTGATCATGGTCAACCAGAGCAGATAAGGATAGCATTAAATCCAAAGAAGAATCATACAACTGGGCAAAGATTAATAGCAAACCAGAGATTGGAAAAGATCTAAGAAACAGCATAAGATGCCAAACAAAGAGACCTAGGTTGTGGGTTTTATAGTTCCTTGAAAGTAGAGTTGCAGATAGACAGGAAAGTGAAGAAGGTGTTTGATACATTTGCATTCATTGGTCAGTGCATTGAGGGTAGGAGTTAGGAGGTCATGTTGCGGCTGTACAGGACAATGATTAGGCCAGTTTTGGAATACTGTGTTCAGTTCTGGTCTCCCTGCTATAGGAAAAATGTTGTTAAACTGAAAAGGGTTCGGAAAAGATTTACAAGGATGTTGCCCAGGTTTGAGCTACAGGGAGAGGCTGAGTAGGCTGGGTCTATTTTTCCTGCAGCATCACAGGCTGGGGGCGGCTGGGGGCGGCTGGGGGGTGGTGGTGACCTTGTTGAGGATTATAAAGTTGTGTGGGACATGGATAGGGTGGATAGTCAAGGCCTTTTTCCCAGAGTAAGGGAGTTCAAACCTAAAGGGCATTAGTTTAAGGTGAGAGGGAAAAGATTTAAAAGGGACCTAAGGGGCAATTTTTTCACGCAGAGGGTGGTGCGAGTATGGAACGTGCTGCCAGAGGAGGTGGTGGAGGCTGGTATAGTTACAACATTTAAAAGGTATCTGGATGGGTACATGAATAGGAGGGTTTAGAGGGATATGGGCCAAATGCTGGCAAATGGGGCTAGACTAATTTTGGATATCTGGTCAGCATGGACAAGTTGGACTGAAGGACTGTTTCCGTACTGTACAACTCTGACCCTATGACCAAAAAAAAGGGGGACGATAAACTTTCGAGGGTAAGTTTGTAAGTGATATCAAGAAAGTCAGCAAGAAGCTTCTTTAAATGTATAAAAAGAAAGAGAGACGCCCAAGTTAATGTAGGCCCTGTAGAAAACGAGTCTGGGGAAATTAAAATGAGGACAAAGGAAACAGCAGAGGAGTTGAATAAATATTTTTCATCAGTCTTCACAACAGATTACACAATAGATTGCAAAGGAAGCTAATGGAACTAAAGACCGATAAGTTCTCTGGACCTGATGGAGTGCATCTATTAGTGGGAAAATGTTATAGTCTGTCATAAAGGATGCAATAGCAAAGCATTTAGAAACACAAAAAAGATCAAGCCCACAGTCTGCATTGCTTCATGAAGGGAAAATCATGCCTGACAAATTCACTAAAATTCTTGGAAAGCTGACAAGCATGATAGATAAAGGAAAAGCAATGGATGTAATATATAGATTTTCAGAAGGCATTTGATAAGGTACCACATATTTGGCTACACAATATGACAAGAAGCCAAGTTGTCGGAGGAAGTATTAGGATAGAGGATTGGCTAACAGAAGGTAGACACTTGGTGGAGGGCGTGCATTTTCAGGAATGGTGACCTGTAACTAATGGTGCACCATACGGATTGGTGGTGAGACCACAATTACAAGCAGTAACTTACATACAACTGACTTATGAATGTTGGCACTTACAAATGAGATCCCATACAGGAGTGTATGAATATTAATTTTAAAGGTCCAACATGTAAATGTTTATTCATACTTACAAACAGCTATTTTATATTGTCCTGTATTGCGTTCCAACTTGCGCACAAATCGACTGAGGAATGTACTCAGTAATGGAAAATGTTCACGACTCAGCAACTGTCTGTATTTACAATATATATTAATGAGGTGGTTGAAAAAAGTGAATGTACTGTAGCCAAATTTGCTGAAACACAAAAATGGTTGGGAAGACAGGTGGTGAGGATATCACAAAGTATATGCAGAGAAATATGGACAGTTAAGCGAGTAGGCAAAACTTGGCAGGTGGAATATAATGTGGAAAAATGTGAGGTTATGCACTTTGGCAGGAAGAATACAGGAGATGAATATGATTTAAATGGAGAAAGACTGCAGAATGCTACAGAATATAGGGATTTGGGAGTCCAAGTGCATGAATCACAAAAAGCTAACATCCAAGTTCAGCATGTAATAGGGAAAGCAAATGGAATGTTAGCCTTTATATCTAGGGGAATGGAGCATAAAAATACAGAAGTTTTGCTGAAACAATACAAGGCACTTGTCAGACCAAGCTGGAATACTGTGCACAGTTAGGGGGCCCTTATCTCAAGAAAGATGTACTGACATTGGAGGCAGTCCAGAGAAGGTTCACTCATCCGATCCCGGGTATGGAGGGTCTGTCTTATGAGCAGAAGTTCAGTTGGTTGAAGCTGGCAGCACCTTTGGAGAGACAAACAGAGTTAATGTTTTGAATCCAGTTACCCTTCTTCAGGACAGTCTGTGTTCTCATGAAGGGTCACTGGACTTGAAATGTTAACTCTGCTTTCTCTTCACAAATGCTGTCAAACCTGCTGAGTTTTACCAGCAATTTTTTTTCTTCAGATCTTCAGCATCTGCAGTTCTCCATTTTATTTGAGTTGATTAGACCTGTAGTCTTTGGAATTTAAAACAATGAGGGGTGACTTTATTGAAATATCCAAGATTCTTGGGAGAACTCGTTGGGAGATGAGGAAAGGTTGTTTTCCCTTGTTGGAGAGTCTAGGACTAGAGGGAATAATCTCAGATTAAGGGGCTGACCATTTAATGCAGACAGGAGAAGGAATTTCTTCTCTCAGAGGGTAATGAATCTGTGGAATCCTTTACCATCGAGGGTTGTTGAGGCTGGGTTGTTACGTCTATTCGAAGCTGAGATAGATTTTTTAATCAGGAAGGGAATCAAGGGTTATGGGAAAAAAGGTAGAAACATAGAGTTGAAGATCGTCAGATCAGCCACAATCTCATAGATGGTGGATCAGACTCGATGGGAAGAATGGCCTGCTGCTGCCCCTACGCCTTATGGTTTGCAAAAAAGTAATGAGAGAGGCTGCACAGGGGCAAAGAGAGAGAGAGACTGCACAGGGGCAAAGAGAGAGGGAGAAATAGGGACTCCACCTCAGTAAAGAGAGAGAGACTGCAAAGAGAGAGGGAGAAATAGAGACTCCACCTCAGTAAAGAGAGAGAGACTGCACAGGGGCAAAGAGAGAGGGAGAGATATTGCACAGGGGCAAAGAGAGAGGGAGAAACAGGGACTCCACCTCAGTAAAGAGAGAAAGACTGCAGAGGGGCAACGAGACAGGGAGAAATAGAGACTCCACCTCAGTAAAGAGAGAGAGAGAGTCTGCACAGGAGCAGTGAGATACGGGGGGAGGCTCTGGGAAGGTGTTGCTGTTGGACCCTGGGGCCGGGCTGACTTTAACAGGGGCATGTCAGAAGCTTGCGGCAGCTCTGAAATCCACAGGCTGGGCTTATCCTGCGTTTTTCCAACGCCGTCGCCAGTGGGAAAATGGGCTCGAAATTAACGCGAGGAGGAGGAAGAAGCGGTGCTGGCGGCGGTCTGGGTCCGCAGGACGAGCGCCCCAGGTCGGCATCGCTGCAGGAATTCCGCTCGGAGCTGCCTGCGGGCACAGGGCGGCGGGCGGAGCTGGCGGTCGCCTCGCTCATCCTTAAACCCGAGAGGCTGCTCCCTCAGAAAGCGGCGCCGGCTCCGTACGTTCGCAGAGTCGGATGGATCAGGGAAATCCAGGCGCTGCTCCGGGAACAGAGAGCCGAGCAGGCGGCCGGGCTGGTCAGAATGCTCCGCAAGGTGAGCGACAGCGCCAATACACACACACACACCCACAGGCGGATAGCAGAGACACAACGGGCCGAATGTTTAATCCCCTTTCATAGCATTAATTATTCTTCAAATTATATATTCCAACCAGACGTTTTAAAAATTAATTTAAAATAATTACACCTCTATAATTATTACTAATATAATATAATAACATACTGTATAATTATTCTCAGTGATTAGTTAATTTGAACAAAAACATTATTGTTGGAGAAGATTTGAGTTTCAGTGATGATCCAGGGATAGATAATAGACAATCAGACTCAGGTGCCCTGAAGAGGATGGAGAGTATGTCTGGCCACATCCCAGGTATTCCCTGTCTCCCACTCACCGTCTACAGGGCTTCCCGCCAACTCAGCTTTGATGCTAGCCCACGTCATACATACGTGAAGTGCATATCTTCCCCAATTATTCCGTGAAATGACAGAAGTGGGGAAACAGCAGAGTGTTTTTTATGTACATACTCCAGTGCTGACAGCTAACTAATTCAGACTAATTTCATCTCTGAAAGGTTGGACTACAGTAAATCTCTCTTCGAACTAAAGCAAAATACTGTGCTATCATTTTTTTGTTCCAAGCAATTTAATTTGAAACAAATCCAGAATGCTGCTTGTCTCGTCTCTTAACACAGACATGTGTTATTTCATTTAGTTTCTGAACTGGATTTTTTTTTGTTGAAAAGTAAATCTTAAATTATATTCCAAGTGTTATTGTGGATTTCTTTAACCAACTATAATTGTAAATCCTATTTAAATATTCCCAATCTGGTTGCAGATTTTACTCTACATTGCTGGTTATTATATCTAAATCTTACTGCAACATTTGAAATTCCCATTGTAAATGTTCCAAATGTCACTGCTATGATCTAAATTTGATGTGAACGTATTTTATAATAATAAGTCTTGTCAGAAAAATGTAAAGTATCACTGCTTTTAAAAACCTCACTCACAGATTATAACTCACTGAAATATTACACTTTTATTAGGCTGGAGAGGTGGTGGAGGCAGATACAATAGCAACATTTAAGAGACATTTAGACAGACACGTGACAGGTAGGGAATGGACGGATTCGGATTAGTTTAGAATGGCAGAGATAGTAAGAACTGCCAATGCTGGAGTCAGAGATAATACAATGTGAAGCTGGAGGAACACAGCACACAGCCAGGCAGCATCAGAGGAACAGGAAAGCTGACGTTTCGGGTCAGGACCCTTCTTCAGAAAAAAAGGGTTAGTTTAGAATGGCATCATGGTTGGTACAGACATGGTGGGCCGAAGAGCCTGTTCCTGCATTGTACTGTTCTATGTTCTTTGTGGATGTTTTGGGGAAGGTCTAAAACAAATTTACTAGGGTGGCACAGGAGCTGAGAATTATTTTTTTAAAACCGAAAGAACTGCGGATGCTGTAAATCAGGAACAAAAATAAATTTGCTTCAGAACTGAGGAAGGGTCATCGGACCCAAAACGTTAACTCTGTTTTTTCCTTCACAGATGCTGCCAGACCTACTGAGCTTTTCCAGCAAATTTATTTTTGTTCAAGAATTAATTTTTATCAGTCTTTTCTCTAGAATTGAGACAGAGGACTGACCTGATCACTTTTAAGATTTTGTTTTAAAAAGAACCTCAGAGGGTAGATGCTGATAAACCACTTGCAAGGAGAGAGCAGGGCTAATTGTTATAAATTTAAGATAAATTTAATGGGAAGGAGAAAAGTCTTGAAGAATGTAAGAAATAGGAGTTGGGGTAGGCATTTTGAACCTTTGAACCTGCTCCTTTATTCAACAAAATCATGACTGATCTACCCTAACGCCACCTTCCACATCCCCATATCCCTTTAGTTCTTTGGTATCTAAAAATCAACCAACCTCTGCCTTTAATATACTCAATCGCATCCGCAAATCTCTGAGAATCTCAAAAGTCCACTACCCTCTACTGAAGAAATTTCTTCTGGTCTCAGCCCTAAATGGTTGATTCCTTATTCCAAACTTGTGAGCCCATGTTCTAGAGTCCCCAGGCCAGGAAAAACATCTCCCCTGTCAACCCTTTCAGAAATTTATATCTTTCAACACTGTTCTGGTCGACCTGCTTTAGGAAGGATACTATTAAATTGGAGAGGGTGCAGAAAAGATTTACAAGAATGTTACCAAAACTGGAGGATTTGAGTTATAAGGAAAGGCTGGATAGGCTGGGACTTTTTTCACTGGAGTGTTGGAGGTTGAGAGGTGACCCTATAGATGTTTATAAAATCAGGAGGGCCATAGATAAAGTGAATACTCCCCTACAGTAGGGGAGTTCAAAACTAGAAGGCATATTTTTATGGTGAGAGGAGAAAGATTTAAAAGGGACCTGAGGGGCAACATTTTCACACAGTGGGTGATTCATATGTGGAATGAGCTGCCAGAGAAAGTAGTAAATGCATGTACAGTTACAACATTTAAAAGACATTTGGACAGGTACATGAATAGGTAGAGTTTGGAGAGATATGGGCCCAGTGCAGGCAAATGGGATTACTTTTGCTTGGGAAACTTGATCAACATGGATGAGTTGAACCGAAGTGTCTGTTTCCATGCTGTTTGACTCTGTGACTCCTCCTGTCTGTTTTCTGTCCATTAACCAATTCTCCATCCAAGCTAAAATATTGCTTTCAATTCCATGAGTCTTAATAATAATAATCTCTTGTGTAGAATTTAATTGACTGCATTTTGAAAATCCAAACACAATGTATCCATTAGTTCCTTCATAGCAATCCTAGTAGCTGCATATTCAAAAGATAATGCTTTTGTCAAACACAATTTCCCTTCATGGATTTGTGTTAACTCTGCTCAATTATGATGATTTTTTAAGTGCTGTGTGACTGCATGGTTAGTAATGGAGTCTACTGTTTCACCTAGTACTGATATCAGGCTAACTTGCCTCACTGACTCTCTCCCTCTTCTCTTAAACAGTGGCGGTTATATTTGGTGTCTTCCAATTCCTGGGGCTATTCCAGAGGTTAAGGAATTTGGGAAGACGAAACCAATGCATTCACTAACTCTGCCATTGCTAATTTCGGTCAAGGCAATTTATCTACGCTTAGTCCCATTAATTCTCCTGTCCTATTTCTTATACAGATTTCTTTAACTCTCACTCTCAAAACTTCTGATTTTTTTGTGACTTCTACTGTGAAGACAGATATAAAGCATTTGTTTAAAATCTTTGTCAGTTCCTTGCTCTGTATTATGATTTCTCCTTTGTCCATAATTGGATCACTTTGACTTCAGTAAATTCCTGGCAACATTATGAACCTGTTCTTCGATCAAACACTATTGTTTAATTCTCTTTTTAGCCACTGTTGGAATATGTTTTCCAGGCATTTTTTTTTTGGAAAATATATTTGTTGCAAATTATGAATCAATTTTTTAAATAGTAGCCATGGTAGCCAAACTTTTGCTATAACAAAAACGGAAAGTACTTGGGAAACTCGGGTCTGGGAGTGTCTGTGGAGAGACAAACAGAGTTAATGTTGTGTGTCAAATGACTTCTTCAGAACAGAAGAGGTCCCAGGCTTATAGAGTCATAGAGTCATAAGCACTCCATACCAACCACGTTTCCCAAATTAAACAAACTAGTCCCATTTGCCTCCTTTTGGCCCATATCCCTCCAAACCCTACCTATTCATGTACCAGTCCAAATGTCTTTTAAATGTTATAACTCTACCTGCATCTACTACTTCTTCTGGCAGTTCCTTCAACATACAAACCACCCTCTGTGAGAAAATGTTGCCCCTCAGGTCCCTTTTAAATCTTTTTCCTCTGACTTTAAAATTATGCCGTCTAGATTTCAGCTCCCCTACCCTATTCACTTTTACTATGCCCTTCACGATTTTTCCTAAATTCGCATCCAAATCTTGCTGAGTGCTTCCAGCACTTTCTATTCTTATTTCGTCTTTTAATGTAGTTTCCCAACCTATCTTAGCCAACTCGGTCCTCATATCTTGTGTAGTTTGTATGCTTTATTTAGATTTAAAAGATATCTAGGCTGTAAGTCAAAAACCCTGGTTTCAGATTTAGCTAAATCATTTTCAAACACAATATTGAATTCCATCAAATTGTGATCACTCTCAATATCGCTTTACTGCAATTCTTTTGTATTGCTTAATATTAGATCCAAAATACTCTGTTCTCCAGCTGGATCGTTGGAAAAAAATCATCTTTCATACTTTGCATGAAAACTCCTACAGATTAAAAGACCTCAGTGACTCCTGTGCTAATCTCAAACAAAAGCAGAAATCACTGGAGAAACTCAGCAGGTCTGGCAGCTTTTGTGGAGAGAAAAGACAGTTATGCTTCGAGCCCTGTTCTGAAGAAGAGTCACTGGATTCAAAACGTTAACTCTGTTTTTCTCTCTCTACACAGATGCTGCCAGACCTGCTGAGTTTCTCCAGCAATTTCTGCTTTTATTTCAGAACTCCAGCATCTGCAGTTCTTTGTTTTATTTTATTGTATTAACCTTATTGCTTCTGGACTGAGAATGAACCTGCTCCTACAGGAAGTATTTAAAGTTGGTAATGTATATCTGTTTAAAAACACATTATATAAATACGAGGGAGAAAAGGAATAGAAGGACATGTTGATGAGGTTAGATAAAGAGTGCTGAGAGGATGCTTGTGGGTCTGCTAGATAAAAGGCATGTTTCTATGTTATAAATAGTATGTAACTGGGTAAAACTACGTAAAATATTCAGCTCTCGCTAAAAACAATTTATGTTTAATCAAAAAGAATTGAAATCAAATGAAGAAATTCTGAATGTCATAGTTAAATTGTACATGTAGACTCTTCTGTATTAGAACTGATTTGTTGTTAAAAATATGTATAATATATAATACATTTACTGAAAGTTATTATCAAATGCAACAGTTCTTAGCCACTAATAGTAGGTTGGTTTTGGTTACCTTGCCATGTAATCTCACTATAAATACAGAGCAGAAGCAATGT